CCTCCTGAGCATTTTGGAGTTTTCTATTGTTTTATGATTATCTCTTAATTGAATCAGAACCAGTATTTTTGTTTATCAATTCCATATACTTTTTTTTTTTTTTTTTGGGAAAATCAATTGTGTAATGAACAGACTAAATAAATCTAAAAAAGTAAACTTTTGTAGGGGAAAAAGTTAGTGAACCCTGAGCTGCATTGCTTAAGGTTTTACCTTTGTTCTACCTGATTGTATTTACTTAAAATGAACGAATGAAGTGAGAAAATGCGGCACTGACTGAAACTGATCAAACCAGGTCAGTTTAGTCTTACCATAATGAACCCATACAGGTCAATCGTGCCCAAGGTAGGGCTGCACAATTTATCTAAATATTATTGTAATCGCAATATGACTAAGTGCAATATGCAAATTGCAGGAGCTGCAATGTAATGCAATGCAATGTATAACAAACAGCATAACAGTGAAGTAGAAAATGATATAATGCTGCAGAGATGCCCTTGTTAACAAATCTTGTTCTCCAGATTTAAGAAAACATGTTGGTTGGTACAGACCCCAAAATATTTCACTGATTTTAATAGTTATTTTTACTTTCCTCTTGGCTAGGGCTGTACGATATGTTAATAACATCATATTGCAATTATTTTGACAGATATATGATTTACAATAATTATGGGAATTATCATTTTTGCACCCCCATTTTAATTTCGACTAAAAAAAACAGGATGATGTGACATTTGTTGGAGTCTGTACCAAACTCACAAAACTAACTGGTACTAAACTGAATTGAAAAAAAAAAAAAACTCGGATCTGGAGGTCTGTCCCAGGAGCAGTTCAGGAGCTGACTGCATTATGAGCTGCTGCCTTCATAAATCAGGATTTTTTTTTCCTCTATTCTTCCCTTTATCTGATATCAGGATAGTTGCACCTCTAAAGGTGCCATGATGTTCAAAATATTGGACAGAAATGTATTTGTGGCATATCCAAAAGACCAGAGTGCTCCCTGGTGTATTAGCAGACGTAGATGTTCTGAGGTCACACGCGGTACCTGTGTTCCGTGCTGCTCCCTGAGAAGGTGGCGCAGGGTTCGGTTTGTGGCCTCAAATGTCTCCAGTTTCTGCAGCAACAGCTCCTTTTGGCGGGCCAAGACCGAAGACTCAGAGCCAGACAGCCTCTTCACCAGCAAACAGAGAGACAGAGACACAGGTTAACTGAAGGAAGTTGTTGGAATTCATTCTGAATACATCCCTGTTATTTATGACAACTAAAGGTGCTGTTCTTTGCTCCAGAGAAAGTCAGAAATCTTTTGGTTTTTCTCTCCCAGGTTTCTAGAGCATGCTGGACCTGGCAGGGCACACACTAAGGCCAAATACTGAGCTAATACTCACACTGCCAGCAGCACCGCACAGTTTGGAAACAGATTCTCGCAGGGCTGAGACTTGCTTGGCAGCCGCCGTCCCATCTACCTCTGCCTCAATCAGTTTCCTGAGCAGAGCATCTTTATCTTGTTGCACGCTGTCCCCGTCTAACCTGCGAGGACGAAACAGGAACAAGCGCATTTGTACACAAACACATGAGCAGTTTTGTTGTTGTTATTGAGATTCTACAGTGATAATACCTGAATAAACTGTTTTTTAAACAGTTTATGGGAGAGGGAAGTGTCAAAATGAGAAAAAAAACTGTAAAAGAGGACAGCTTTAAAGAGGAGCAATTAAATCAGATGTTCCTTTAATCTGCCTTCAGGCCACTGAGAAACAGGATCTATATTCTAACCTTCTTTCCACTGGAGAGACATCAGACAGAGCAGCAGTTTTTTTTTTTTTAATCCTGACTATTTTAATAGGATTTGTTCTATTCCACATCCCAGATGTAAAGTCACTTACAAAAGCATGGCTAAGATAAAGCTAGCATTGCTCTAAATCACAAGGACTGGGATATTTTACTAGTGACTATTTATTTGCCACTGAGCCTGTCTTAAAGATCTAATCTCCAACTTTATTAAAAGCCTCTTCCTTGGTAGATATTTAGGGAAGCACCAGATGTGTCTGAGTTATATGATAGACAGAACAAAATCCACATGAGGAATCCATGTAACGAGACTGCTTGATGACAACCAGCCTATTAAAGAGGAAGTGTGTAGGATTCAGTGGCATCTATTGGCGAAGTTGCAGTTTGCAACCAACTGAATACAGCTCAGCCATCCAAGTGTGTAGGAGACCCTAAGGTGGTGCCGAAACTCGCGAAACACTGAAATAGCCCTATCTACAGTCAGTGTTTGGTTTGTCCGTTTTGGGCTACTGTAGAAACATGGTGGTTCAACATGGTGGACTCGTAGACTCTGCTCCCTCTGTAGATAAAGTGCTCATTTCAGGGCAGGTGTCAGCAACCTTTACTTTCAAATGAGTCATTTTTGGCACAAAAAAAGTGCCTGGAACATACATAAAACATATTTATGCCTTACAATGCTAATTTATGCTGCAGATCAAACATACTGGTAAAGCCAGCAGAGTTGGTGGCCAAAGCAAACAAATCTATCTCTATTGTCCTCAGAGATTTTTCTTTTCTTGGGTTTAAAATCCATAGCTAGGCTGGCTAGGGACACTCAAGACTAGCAGCCACCGCTATTGAGGTTCAGCAGAAGTTAAAAAAAAAATAAATAAATAAAAATAAAAATAACTGTTATTCATTTGCATATAATTATTTTGTCAAAGCCACAAGGAACCACTAGAGAGGGGCTGAGGAAGAGGTCTCAGGGACCACTGGTTACCTATATTATATAATAATATATTAAAAGTGAGGAGAAGAAGAAGAAGCAGAAGAAGCAGAAGAAGAAGAAGAAGAAGAAGAAGAAGGGGCTTTTCAGTGATTGTATATGTACATGAGAAAGAGTGGATAGGAAGTGTCCACTCTTTCTCATGTGAAGCAGTGTAAAAGTAGAATTTTTGCCTGTGGTAGTCAGTCTCCTCCAGCATCTTCTCCATGGATTGACGTAATCGCGTGTTCTCCCGTTCGGTCTCTTCCAGTTCCTTCGTTACTTCAGCCAGCTCCTCCTCCTGCTCAGCGATCACCCGTTGGGAGACATTCAGCTGCTCCGACTGACGCTCCAGCAGCTGCTCCTTCTTCCGCAGCTCCACCTGCACACACACACATTCACAATATGTTACTGATGTCTTTGTGGACACTGCTCATGCAAACTCTGCGTATCTCAGTGTGCTCACTACCATCAAATGGCCTGTTATCCATCTCACAGTTCTATACAGAACTCACGTTGAATTGTAAAAAAGTACACGCCCAGAAGTTATAAACTTAAAGCTACATGTAACGTTTCCTCATTACACAGTGTATAAACTCTAGAGCTATGGTCTATATGTAGTTGAGTTGTGTACTTCTTTATCCCAAATGTTTCCAACAATGTTCAAACTCAGAGAAATGTCATTTTATTCAGGTAACG